AAAGGGGAGGAGTGTTGGGGATGTTAGATCCCCAAAATTCGCTTGATAATGCCGTATTTCGGTTTTTCACGTTCGCCAGCAGGGGCTGATCAAATGACCTTGAGATTTCAATTCCCACCAGGAAAATCCATGGCTGTGATTGGCTGCTGTGTATTTTAGTATGCTATTTTCTTAACTGTCTCAAGGACGTTGTTATGTTGTATAAATAAACGAGAGTTGTATGCTTGATTGTACTGGATTGCTGGGTGTTTGTAGAATATACTTTCTACGCTTACCAAGACTTCTGTTTTACCGTTGGATTCAAGGTAGCCTTCCTGGAAGCTGGTAAAAGTATCGTTCGCGTTTATCGACTAAGGTAAACTCGTAATAGCATCAAGCATCCTAAGTGACGAACATATCAAAAACAGAATTTAGACGGGCATAAGAATGACATTAAGACAGCCTTCAAAATATTGTATGGAAACGCTGAAGGACGAATTTCGAGGTTTATGGAAGCCTTGGCTATTCGTAGATTCAAACACCCTTTTGTGTGCAGAAACAATTTGTTATTACCTTGAATTGACCCTGGTAATCTTAAGCCTAGGGTCATGTGACAATTACCTACCCTTTCTTATTTTCTCTCTCCTTCATTTGAAATTATAACCTTATGTCTATTTGAACTTCTGTTTGACCTTTTATTAATATTCATATAAAGTGACTTGACAAGTATATGCGACCAGAGTGTTCGAAATATATGGCGCAAATACATCACATTTTTCAGGTCAATTATGTCTTCGCATTGTTCTATCAAAATTTATAAAAAGGGACTAATTGGTGTAAATTTATTGATTGTAATTTCATTCTAAATGTTAAGTTAGGGTTTAATAATACTTTATTGAAGAAAAATAAACACATTTCATTTACCTTCTTAAGGGACGAGTAAATCTTTTACGTAACAAAACACGGTCTATTGATTCTTCATCAAATAAAAGAATATCACTGGTACAACTGAAATTAACATGATGTTCCTACAAAAGTTCGATAAAAAATACAATGATCACAAAGTAAATTAATTTCATTTTAAATATCCATTAAACAAGAAGACGGTGAAACAACACTGATACAATCGAAATTAAAAGAAATTCGATAAAAACTAGATCAACATATTTTAAGTAGGCATACATAGAAATGGATCAGAGGTTATGGGAACGTGTCTATACGCTACTAATTTACGTTGTATACAACAATAAATATTGGATATAATCTCCAGTTTGATATTAATTGCTATAAACACAAGTGTAACAATTAATTTTTAGTTACTACTATCGATATCTTCATCAACTGATTGGTTATTAGTTTTATTTTATTGGTCCCTATGTAAACCCGTAAACATTGGTAGAAAGGGACATCTAAGTATTTATGCGCCATGTGAATAATTGAATATGTGAACGGACTGAGATGCTGCTCGATGGGCAAAACCGAAGCCGGTGGTTCTCTTAGGGGGTCACACCTCGAATATTTGATCAAGAGGCGTAGTCTACAAGGCAGTGCAGCAACGTTATAAGTCGCAGTCTCGTGGTAGCCGATGACAAACAACAGATGCATACGTCATTCGTCCTAACAAGATACTGTAGCCCGTATACACTATCGGTTTGGACTTATGACTTTCCAAATCCCCTAGGTGGGTCCTCCGTTTCCACCGACCTGGTTAAAACTCTGGACATTCACTATCCATCCTCTCAAATTCGTGAACAACACCTCTACCACGAGATAACAGTGAGTAGGACTGCTCTGACAGTGGTTACATGCACGTGACCATATGAGATTATTTAGAGAGTGAGAGAATGAACTTTTCTCGCTCTTGGCCGTACCAGGGGGCTTCACATAAAATTGGCTTCAATATCTGTTATACATTGTAGCCATCTTTTTTAATGATTATTGTATTTGTTCAACATATATTTAATAATTTACCTTGAAGCTTATTTTTATTCTTTAGTTATTAGAAGACATGTAAGTAGTATAAAATAAATAAGCCAGTTCCCACTCTTCCAATGTTTGTGGAACTATCTCATTGGAATAATGAACGTGTTACTTCTCTGACTGACGTACAATTAAGTATACTTCACCCTCAAAAACCATATGAAATTTAATCTCTAAAACTCGTAGATATACAATCGCATAAGGAATAGTAATAGCGATCTTTGATGCGATCCGCTTGATACTGATTAATTTTACATGACTCAGAAGGATAAAATATATTTAAACAATAAGGCGTTAAGGCTATCCATCGTAAATCTTGTCTCATCTAAAAAAAAACTTAATTCTGTTAATCAACTATTTTTCTCGACTTAAATTAAGTGTGGGAAAAATACTCTGTGTTGAGAAATGATCTAGTACATACACAGCAAATATTTTCTTAAACTTTAAGCTTAATAAATAACCTGTAAATTTTTTGCAAATCATAAATACTATAATTAAATTTACGCAACTAACCTCGTTAGAAATATTGTCCTGTGATGGATCATCTGATTTTTCTACAGGAGATAATGGTTTATGTGTACTATTGGACATTTCTGACACAGTGCAATCTACGTTTCATTTGGAAATAAACAAAATACAGATTTCCTGTTTTATTGATTATTCATGCTCTTCAGTCAGTCATAAACAATGAACAACATGATACTAATGTACATCGGTTAACGTTCCCATACTAGAAAAATCATCAATCAATCATTGTTAGACCACCATTGTAAATTTGGAATCACTGACGGCCGTTTCGTCCTGCTATGGGATTCACCAGCAGTGCGCATCCACGACTCCTGAACCTCGCAGGATTCAAACCCAGGACCTTCGTTATTGTACGTGAACGCCTTACCGTTGAACCACTGGACCGGCATCCATACCAGGACGAAACGGCCGTCCAGTGCTTCCAAGTTTCCGATGGTGGTCTAACAATGATTGATTAATGATTTCAAATGTGTAAAAACACTAACCTCCATAACTCTAATTGAAAAAAAGACAACTAGAGAAGTTATTGATCAAATGAGCAGAAGTAAAATTAGTGTTTATAATAATAATAATAATAATAAATCAGCCTGAAAAATCATAAAATTGATGAATAAAGTAATGTTACAGCTCACAATTGTTCATAAATATCACAAAGATATGAGAAAAGTACATCACTCCATATGGCTTGAACAAATGACTTATACATCCGAGAAGCATTAAAAATACTCCTGAGCCATTTAACGCTGAAGATCTCTAAGCGGCCATTTGTTGGGAATTCATGACAGGTTCCGATAAACTTAAACAATAACAATTAACAGGAATATAGATCAGTTTACCAGTACTACCTAGCAGCGTACGTCTAAATTAGGTAGTCCTATTATAACACAAATAATGGTATCATGAAAAGTTCGGTCAAATACAAGTAACCTTACATTCCTTTCCTCTTCCTTCAAAGTTCATGTTGTATAGCCATAAAGTAAAACAAAACGACAGAAAGCCGACTAACTTTTGCCAAACAAAAGTTGATAAAAAAAATGTATGATGCTTTTATATCCATATATAATTGGCATGTGGTTTTTACGGTTACAATACGTTCTCAAAACCCTACACTCACTCCTGCTAGTTAGAAGACAGAGGTAGGCGGAAAGATCATGTATCTGGATAGCTGTGCAAGTACTGGTGGTACCGTGAGTGATGAGATCAATTCATGTAAAGTGAAAGCCAAAGGGGCTTTTGCGGATCTCCGGCAGCTCTGGAGACTTCGTGATGTTAGCATTTTTTCAGAAGGTTAGATAACACCATCTTAAAACACCGACGTCTCTCTGGGTGAGTCAGCCAGTCAGTCAGTTGAAACATAGAACTTAGTACGTAAGTATATCAGTTCAAGTTGTCACACCACATTAGCACAGAGACGCAATTATCAATTCGAATCCCACAGTAGTTGAGGTAGTAAAACTATTAGCAGTAATCAAAGAGATAAGGGTTCGAAGATATTATTCAAGAAGTATAATCTAGTGATATAAACTTAAAAAGAGAAAGATAAAGGTGACAAAGAATCCAGAGGATCAGGAATTGAGAAAAGCCAAAGAAGGAACGCACCTGCGCCACTGCAAACGCTTTTGAGCTATTCCACGGTGTAGGCAGCCAGGAAGTGACAACCGCTCTCATACCCATAAAAGCACACGAGACTAAATTGGTCACAATTAAATAGAACAGATGAACCAGTTGGTGTATTGCTGCGTATATTTAAAAAAGTCAACCAACTGGAAGACATGAAGTGAATTTATCGTTGAAGTATGTCCATAAAGCACAAGGGCGTCCCGTAAGTTAGCAATGTAACCAATAGCCAAAACAAAATAAAGACTGGAGTCATCTTAACATCCCTGTTTAGCATGCACTGATTATACAACTGCTATGTTAACTGTAAAACAAACTGTTTTACTCATTGTGTTACCAGCGTTTATAACTCATAAAAAGAATCCCACGTCCATCTAGCAACTTTAGAGCTAATTGTAATGATTGTCTAGGCCAAAGTAGGTGGATGATATTTCATATATAAAATAGAATAGTAAGTGAAACTGGCACTTTATCGATAATTCCACTGATATACGATATATAATTAAGGCTTTTATAGTTCACAACAATTGATAAAATCATTTTGATTGAATTATGAAATACAGTGTTCGCTAGAGTTCCTTATAGTGTGTAAATGGAGCACTGTTTTGTCTAGGTCTATTGGTAAATGGTAGGCAGCCTATACTCCACGAGAAATAACAGGCATAAGTAAGTAAGTCTGTTGGTAAATCGGTTGTTTGTTTGGAAGTCCATTTTAGTTAGTTGCCGTTTTGAAATTCGAACTTCGTACGTTATCAAAGTTAAAAATTCGTATTTCTAAACCAGTGGAAAAACAAAACAGTTTTTTCTACTATTTTTAAACTATTCAATGTTAATAGCTTTTATTTGATAAAAAAAATATTAGCACCAACCAGCAAAACATCAGTGAGAATAATTTTGTTTCCCTTTTTTCACACTTACTGAAAAATAAAAAAATTTTACATCAAGAACATTACTACCTTACCATAGGACGGATTTTCTGAAACACTTCTAATAGTATTAGTGCTACTGTTAGGTGATTCAATAACTTTGTTTCGAAGAACACTCTTGACATTAGATGGTTTTTCACTAGACAAGCCCAATCTAGTAAGGAGTAATTCAGCAGCAAGTCGTTTTGCCAAACGTTTATTATTCGCTTTAGGACCTTGAATACACACGTTTGAGAACTCAAGCTAAACAGTGAAAACAAATAAGAGGATTTATAGAACTGTGATGTGCACATATATGATGCATCTTATTATAAAAGCATGAATGAAATACAGAAAATCAAACGACTATTGCATTTTGTAGTCATTTCTGATAATGTAAGACAACACAGGTCTGAATATCAATCTCATAACCTTTAACATAATAAAACCTCATGTAATCAACTGCAAGTTTGTTTGTTTGTTTCAATTTGGGTAATGCTTCCGATGTGTGATCGTGGGATGTTGTCTGAAAGTTAGAAACGAAGTGGGTATGATTGGGTTAAAATTAGTGATCAATAATTTGAAGCTGACGCGCTTCATTCACTCAATAAGTTCCTCCTAAACTGCGATCAGTTTTAATAGTTGCTGTCACGAAACGCTAATAAACGGCATCTTTTTTGTCAACAATTTTTAGTTTACAAAATGAATATAGTTTGTTTGAAGATAAATTTTATTTTTTGTGTTGAAATTCAGTGTAAAAAATATCAGTGGAACGAAAACAGTTTAATAATACTGTCAAATAAAAAGTTACATTAGAATAACATCGGAAGTTACATTGGCAACGTTCGAAGCATCGCCAATTATTATGTTGATTTAATTTATGTACACTAACCTGATAAATGAATGGCGGACGATTGGGTACTAAAGATGTATGTCCTTCATTCGGTAGCTGATCATTTAAGAGAATATATTTTACTTTATCCAAATTTTTCACAATTCTAAAACATTCCAATCTACAGACAGGATGAACTGATTCATCTAAGGCACGATCCTGATTCAATTGTAATTTGATCTGAAAGTAATTATATATAACATGGGCAAATCAAACTGGTTCTATGATAGACAAACATTATTTTCATAAGGCTAACTGCATTCGATTGTAAATGAATTGGGATATTTTTTTATTTTTTGTAAAATGGTATAGTTGACATATACTTATCCATTAAAGAACACAATTAATATATTCGATAAAATAATCCAAATTATGTTAATAAAGTCGATGTAAGAGAGTTAACTCTTAAGCCATATTTACGTAGTTGTATAAAGTATCATATCAAACTATTCTGTGTTTCATCCAAGGATACAAAACACATTGAGTTCTTAATCGAAAAATTGAAATAATAGAAAATTATGTTACTTCAAAAATGCAACGCATACTGTAAAAGCGGACGGGTAAATGAAATTTCTTGTTTATGTTGACTTGAATATTTGCGACCGTAGCTGCTACCTTGACGTGGTGGTCGGGCTTGCCTATCGTCATCACCCAACCGAGCTATACTGGCTGGAACATATGTTCCTCAAGGTCCTACCATGCCAGGCAGGTCGATTGGAGAACGATGAGACTAAAAGCAGCTACTCAAGGTCTGAGGGCGAAGTCGTACTGCTGACTACTGCAGAGGGGTGTGACAGCAGTAAGGTGTTTCCCTCGGACAACCAGCATCTGCAGCGATGCTGCCTTCTCACGAGGAAGGAAGGGTTAGAAAAGGTCGGCCCTAAAAATGTCACACCTCCCCTAACTCACGGATTTCCGTCTCCCTGGGTAAGGGTGCCCACTAAGGGCCTTTAAGAACGGAGCTAATCCTCTAAATACCTTTCATAAAAAGGCCGTGCGTGACCGGCCTCAAGCAGTTGTCCCTTGGACTCTGCGGTCACGCTGCCAGGTCTCCAAGACCAACACTAATCTACCTTCCTTTTCAGGTCTCTCAAGAAACAACCTCCCACGGTGTGGGCAGCCGGGAAGTGATAACCACCCTTATAGCCGCAACAGCACGCGAGACCAAATTGGTCAAAATCAAATCCTGACTGACTGAATATTTGCGCTACTTGTTTTCCTAACATAACTCTTTCCGTTTGTTTTAACAGGTTAATTTTTATCTAGCAATTGCATATCAAGAGATAAAAAATAAGTACGATCCGAGTCATCGTGGTGGCTGGTAATATGCGATGGAAAAAGAAACTTGTTGAAATATTCTGTACTGAGAATTCCAGATTGTACTAAACATATAATACTAAGTAAAGCCATTATTACTATTATTATAACTTAGAAATTTCAGGAGAAAAAGAAATCAAATAGCCATGACATAATTGCTTAAAACTTTGATGAAAATGTTATGTCTAAAAGAACTAACGCCACGAATCCTCTCATGAGCATTTAACTCCCTAAGAAGTAAGGTGAAGAGATGTACGGTAGTTTAACTTTTTGATAACAAATAAGTTGAATAAAAATTCATAGTGTTCGTTTGAAATTAATCTCAACTTTACACAACAATTAAATAAGAAAACAAAATCAGTTAAAGTAACAACCAATATCATATTTTTTCTGGACTTATAATGCTAATTGAATTATATTGACCGAGTTGCAGTGCGGTCACTACTCTAACTAACTCGACATTGTGTACACCTGTGTGGAGACGTTAAGTGATTGATAATAACTGATAGGAAATGTTGTCTAATATTTTCAGAAAACAGTTGTTTCCTTGTAGGATTTGTTCGAATTGACAACCTCCAAACACTTAGTGAAGTACATATACTAATTGAAACAATCTAATTAATAATGAATAGTTGATTACTTTTTTTTAAAAAAAAATTAAACATACTTTACACGGTTTATATTTTTGTTTATGAACAGATTTTGATGTAACAACATCATGCTGTTGATCATAACATGGAACTGTGGAACATTTATTCTCAATGTGATGTATATTATTAAGCATTGATTGAGCAGCAGCATTTTGTGCTTTCCTTGCTGATATAGACTTATTTTCAGTAGCAGTCCAACCATCTAATAGACATGTACAAGTAAATTTATATGGTTCACAATCGGTTAACTTTACAATCTGATCAATGTGTAAAAAAAAAGAAAGAAAAAGATACAAATCATAATAAAAAATCAATTCATGATAACAATAATTACAAACTAGCATTAACGGACACAAATGAAGCAAATCAACATTAAAAGATTGTATCAACCAATTACGATATGTTAAGTTGAAATTCATAACTTGACTGAAAAAAAGTAGAATGTCATGTTGACTGTTATATAATGTGAGTCAAATACTATTGTTAAGTTACACATTTTTGAAACCATGAACCGATCAATGTTAGACCACCATTAGAAACCTGGAAGCACTGGACGGCCGTTTCGTCCTGGTATGGGATTCCTCAGCAGTGCGCATCCACGACTCCTGCGCACAATACCGAAGGTCCTGGGTTCGAATCCTGCGGGGTGCAGGAGTCGTGGATGCGCACTGCTGAGGAGTCCCATACCAGGACGAAACGACCGTCCAGTGCTTCCAGGTTTCTAATGGTGGTCTAACATTGATCGGTTCATGGTTTCAAAAATGTGTAACTTAACAATCTTCACAACGCCGTAATGCAAAATACTATTGTGTAACCTTATCTCACTGAATTATACTTCTTGAATAATATCTTCAAACCCTAGTTTTCTTCATTACCATTAATGCCTCTACTATCTTTATCACTATGGGATTTGATTTGACATCTGCGTCTCTGTGCTTATGTGGTATAGCAACATGAACTTATGTACATACGTACAAAGTTCTACGTTGCAACTGACTGACTAGTAGTTTCAAATGTATTTAGCGGTTATTAAATGCCAATACATACGGAAACAGAATAAAAAATCTTCCTAATTGACTGTTTTTAATGTATCTAGCGATTAAACAAACTATAATAGCAAGTAAAAAATATTCAAACATCCAAAACAACTTTCAGCCAGTCAGTTACAACGTAGAACTTCGTACGTAAGTACATCAGTTCATGTTGCCATACCACATCAGCACAGAGACGCAATTGTCACTTCAAATCACATAGTGGTAGAGATAGTAGAAGTCTTAGCGGTGATGGAGATGATTAAGGCTTGAAGATACTATTCAAGAAGTACACTTCAGTGAAATAACTTCAGAAAGAGAAAGATAGAGGTGACGAGGAATTCTGAATATTAGAATTCGAGAGAATACAAAGAGTGGATGCCCCTGTGCCATTGCAAACGATTTTGAGTCATGTCGTTCAAGGTCTCTAACCATTGGTTACTTTCGTCTCGCAGACCCCAACCAGATAGCCTACATTAACCAACATGACCCAGTCCAATTGTCACTGATTTCATAGATTTTTGCCATGTTTTAGTTTGGTCGGCCCTAGCTTTCTTGCAACCTATTCCTACACTACAAAACATCGCTCGACGAGACAGTCGATGGTTGCATTTGATTAGTAGGCTTAAAGGAAAAATAATTCCTCACCACTAAATAGTTGTTTAATCTCAGATTGGTCTCTTTTATTAATTATCATCATATATTACTCAACTATAAACCATGAAATTGTATCTTTTTATTAATCACTAATTTATAATAAACTACATCAATAACTCAGAATTATAACATAGTACATGTACTACTAGTTTTGTACGTTTTGACATTAGTAAAGTTCATGAATTGAGCTAAATTCTTGAAAGTATAGTAGAATTATTGAATCTGAGTATAAAACGTGAATAATTCAAACCTAATTTTACAATATAGAAATTTGAGTGAAACGAAGACAGTTAAAAACTAATAAATTTCTTTTGATATATAAAACATCTCCTTATAAGTAACTTTGTTAAATTAAGTATAGAAACATGGAATAATCTTAAAAGCCAAGTAGCGCAAGTGGTTTTTATCAGGGTGACCATTAACACTAAAAGTTATATATAGAACGTTATAATTAGGATTGAATGACAAATCACAAAGTTGGAAGCTCCTTCATTTACAGCACTATCATTGCAAGTTACACCATTTTGTAGATTTGTTCAAGTTGATTTTTATCAATTCAGACGCAGATCAACTGAAGAATAATTCGAAAATAGGAAGCATTAAACAGTTTTTTTCTAACTAGTTTCAAATTTTTAAAAAATTTAAATACACTGAATAGTAGTTTGTCTAATTAAAATACACAGAAGTTCTGTATTCATCCCCATGTAGGACCAAACACTGCTGTTACATCAAAGAAATTGCTGAAAAAACAACAATAATTTCCCAAATTTTCTTCAACATTGATAGCAAGTTTTGACGCAATATAAAGTGAAACAAAGAATGTAGATCACGACTCTATAGCTGAAACAACACTAGCAGTAAAAATGGTTTATTTTCGATGTGTTAGTAGTGAAAGCATTAAACTGATCATGTAGCGTGAGGCAATTGCTATTAAAGTAGGCGGAAGACAAAATAATAACTATATCTACCTCACTATTTACTTTTAAAATAATGTTGGTAAGGGGCAGCACAATACAGATAAAATTCCAGAGATAAAAAAGTTAAGCATATCATATTAGTTAAGTTAATTTAAAATCTCTGGTTTTATTCTCTCCCACATTTCGACTATTTTTTTGTATATTGCTTTATATTACTTACTAATATTCAACAACTAGTTTCATTTCTAATAATTTATGGACATTTGATAGAACGCACACTTAATTACAATGTAATATTCTGCACAGCATTTACTATGATTACATTTTATTTCCAGTGTTTTTGGATTCCTTAAATCTTTTTCATATAATCGATAATATTTTCAGAATAGGATGACTTAATAGTAATTTGTTGCTTTCTCTTCAACTACATACACGTACTGGCTTATTTCCATTTAAAAAAATAATGCCAAATTCAAATGACAACTTTTAAAAGTCACAGTTTTTTAAAAATAGAATATTTCCATAATTCGTTTTATTTCTAGAACACTAATATAATTTTATTGCTTTGACAACATTTCTAAAAGTTCATAAAAAGGTCAACTCACTAAATCATTGTCACATTTAACTGAAAAAAGTTTAAAATGTCACTAAGGCAACTGAAGTCTAACTACTGACTCTCTTTGAATACAGATTTAGGTATGTCCCACTGCATCTATCAATTTACATTTGTACGTGGACATACATATGGGCAAGAGCAATCATGATCTGTAAGGATGGGTGCTGAACACACCAAAATGACTACAAAAACCGATAAGTTCCAATGATGAAATGAGATCACAGGATAGACAAATATCATCCGAAATTTAAAAACATCTAGTTGAGACTGATTGTTAGGTTAATATTCGTCCTTTGCCAGCTTGTCCGACCATAGCTGCTACCTTGTCTTGGTAGTCGGGCTTGCCTATCGTGATAACCTAACTGCACTATATTGGCTGGGACATATGTTCCTTTAGGTTCTAAAATGTCAAGCATGTCGGTTGGAGAACAGGAAACAGCAATTCAAGGTCTGAGGGAGAAGTTGTAGAGAGGATAATAGCAGTAAGGTGTTTCCCTCGGACAACCAGCATCTGCAGCGATGCTACCTTTTCACACGGAAGGAAGAGGTTAGAAAATTTTGACCCTACAAATGTTACAACTCACCTTACCGCACGAATTTCCGTCTTCGGCGGTAAGGCCATTCGAAGAGCGGAGCTGACACTGCAAAAGCATCCCATAAAAAGGCCATATGTGACTGACCTAAAGCAGTTGTCCCTTGGGCTCTGCGGTCACGCCCTTAAGTCTCTAAGACCTAATCTTGTTTTACTTTGATAATTTTGGTTCATTATCCAGCTTGTGTAACTCCGCCAGTAGAACCTTAGGGGCTACTGCCGGTCCCAAGCCCGGATAAAGGAGGAGGGTTGGACATGGGGTTGGCGACCCCATTCCGTCGAAATCTCACTTGCCAAAAAAACGCTAACCAGAAAAAACAATTCAAACCATTTTAACTCTGCCCTGGGAGTTGGAAGAAGAATTATGACGTCTCGTGATGAAAGCCGAGTTCTCTCGGAAGTCACGGGGCCGATGCCTCTTCTGACAACCAGAGCAACCATTCTTTTAGGTACATGGAACGTTCGTACATTGTGGGATACTGGAAGACTATT